GGGTCAAATAAATTGCCACATTGACCAACTTATTCCACGTGATCAGGGTAGTGTGGTGCTATTGGTTGCTTGATGGATAGGAGAAAAGCGAAGGGCTCATCGGGTAGGCAGTCTTCCCAAACTTTAATCTCGCAGCATTTGAGATAGTACGATTCACCACTTCAGTTTGTCCATCCGTTTGAGGATGACGAGTCGTCGAAAACAAGAGTTTCGTCCCAAACTTGCTTCACAATGTCTTCCAAAAGTAGCTCAAGAACTTTGTATCACGATCAGACACAATGGTACGTGGCATCCCATGCTATCTCACGACCTCTTTGAAGAACAAATCAGTCACATTAAGAGAATCGTCAATTTTATGGCTGACTCGCACGAAACTACATCGCGAATTAATCCTGACTAGAGCCCAAGTTTTAAAACTCTAGTCGGGCGCAGTATAGGGAAAGTATTTAAATGGTCAACTCGGGCCGGTCCATGTACCCCTACTTCAATCGCTTAAGTTGTTATCTAGCAAAATGGTTTTGAGTTTACAACTATGAGAACTACAAAGCAAAAACAAGGAAGTAAAGTAAATCGAGGGGAATTCTATATGACAGTACCTCACTTGGGAGGTACTTCCCCTTAACTAACAATTACGACTTGAAGAATTGAACGACCGTGTGTGGTTAGGGAGTCATAAACCGCAGGGAAGTCTAACAAGCAGCCAAAGCTACCATCTTAGCCTCTAGGTTGAGGAATGGGATACGATCCAAGCCACTAATGTGGACCTCTCAACCTATAGACTAAAGAATGGTTAGACTTCACCCTCGAATTGGAGTTCAGACGGCCACCCACAACCAAACCCTAAGTGCTAATGCGAATTAGGAGGGTTTCCCTTTAACTAACCTAGAATAGGAGGCATAGAATGCCCAAGGAAACCCATCTCTGATTGAGCCTCTTAAGTTAAAGAGGGTTCTCTCTAAACTAGCCTAGGAGGCCTGAAATGCCCAAGAACCCCATCTCAATATTGAGCCTCTTAACCTAAGGAGGTTTCCTCTCTAAACTAGCCTAGGAGGCTTGAAATGCCCAAGAACACCCAATGAAACTACTAACCTAAGGAGGTCTCCTCTCTAACCTAGGTTAGAATGGCAATTAGATTGATAGGCTTTCACACAACACAATCATTTCTAAATAATACCTCCACATTCAAATTAAAACACAACCATGCACAAATCATTAAATTCATACAAGCATTCACATAATTGTAGCTAGGGTATACAATACCCAAGTGAATAGGTAGACTAATCCATAGCTAGGCAAAGGAAAACAACAAAAAGGAGAGAAATAACCATGGAGAGGTGGAAATCTTCCTCCCTTGTTGCTTGAATCTTCTTTGAGAAGAAGAAATCTTCAATCCCCTAACTTGAATTGAGCCCAATTTCGTTCTTTCTCCTTTGAGTGTCACTTTCTCTCTCTAGAATGGGAAGGAGAAACCCTAATCTCTCACTAGAAACCCTCTTTATTCTGAAAACTAAAACCCTACATCCAAGCTCACTTCTTCTTCCTTTCATCTCTGCATTATACTGAGATCGGGCCCACGTCACGGTCGTGAATACCTAAACGCGTCCGTGAGCTCAGTGTTGTGGGCTAAAACACACCGCTTCACTCCCAGAGTTCATGGTCCTGGCAACCGTGAACTCGCAGCTCTGACCGTGAACTCGCAGCTCTGACCGTGAACTGCGGCTGGTTCCTGGACGCCTCCGCTTCACTGTCATGTAACTTTGGACTTTTCTTTGGTTTTTGCGTTTTTTGACCTCCAATCGTCATCGATCCTTCCACACATGCTAGGACCTGAAATGTATTAAACCAAGCACAACCTAGCGTGAAATATGTCGAGGAACGAAGAAATGCAAAGTCCAATTATCAAGAAATTAGGGGTTAAATGTGTACAATTGGACCTGAATCAATGGCATAGAATGAAATAAGCCATCTTCGAAAATCAATCCACCACCACAAAGATTGAATCTCGGCGTCTGCTAGTCCTCCGCAATCCCAACAAAAAATCCATAGATATGTTGAACCATGGTGACGATGGAATGGTTAGTGGTGTGTCCAATCCAGATGACTCCACCTTCGATTTATCTTTCTTGCACTCCACGCATCTAGCACACAAGCTCTCTATGTTACTTTTCATATGAGGCCAGTAGAAGAGCCTTATAAGAAACTCTACGTCTTGGCTACACCAAAGTGTGCCATCAATCCTCCTCCACGAGCTTCTCATAATAGCAACTCTCAAAGTGAAGTATGTGGTGTGCAAAGCTAATTACCACGAAATAAGTAGCCTTCTTGTTGATAGTACTTCCCTTCTCCATGCTTCTCATATAGCTTATATATCTCTCAAAAATCAGAACCCTCCTCATAGATGCCTCTGGTTTGCTTGAATCCAAGGTAATTTGCATTCATGGTAGTGATCAAAGTGTATTTTCTCGATAGGGCATCAGAAACAACATTCTCTTTGCCTTGCTTGTACTTGATGACGTTGGGCTTTCAAATATGTGAGAGACTGATGATCATCATGAATAATGAATTCTCCAAAGCTCAAACCAATGCATAGAGCTCTTTATCATAGGGTGGTAATTAAGTGTAGCTCCAATCAACTTCTCGCTAATATGAAACTGGCCTTTTCTTTTGCATCAATACAACACCAATGCCAAATCCTGATGCATTACACTCCACTTCAAAGATTTTTTTAAAATCGGGTAGCATCAGAACATGAGCATGAGTAAGTTTGTACTTGAATAGCTCAAATGCCTTTTCTAGCTCTTCTCTCCAATCAAAATCGATCGATTCAATCCGTACAAGTCACTGTCAATAGTAAGCATGTCTCAATAACTACCCCATCCTAGGTCAAGTTTAACCTAGAGTGGCGTTGCCATATAGTGGCAATCAAGATCGTATTTACTCGAGTCTCGGTATCCTAGCCTACTTCCCACATTGATGTTATCTAGTCGGTCGGTTTAAGGGTTTTTTATGGAGGATTCTAGCAGAATACTAGTAGAAAAAGAAATAAGGATAAAAGTAGGTACTTCAGGGAAATATCCCTCACCCTAGCCTAGGTCTACTATGCTATTTCTAGATAAATAGGGTTTGTCGAATGTGGTGAGTGAGCTCTTTTCCGTGTGCTTTCGTGGTTATCCACACGCCTACGAGTACACCTCTCCTAAACCCATGTTAGTCACCTTGATCTAGGCTATCATATCCGAAGGCATTAAGCACATAGCTCCTTTCAATGGGTACTACCCACCGTCCACACCGAGGTTTTATCTCGGGTTCTATCTAGGAAGGAATTCCTATGGTAGGGGTACGATCACGTCGTCCACCATAGGATCCTATTCATACATCTAACATCAATTTGCTTGAAAGAGCATCCCAGTCTAACCCTAAAACTCCATACCCAGCGTAGAAGCTCAAGTAAGCTTGTAGAGAAGATTATGGCGACTTACCCAGCATAGAAGCTCAAGTAGGCTTGTAGAGAAGATTATGGCGACTTACCCAAAAGCAATCAAAGATAGAGAAACAATGAAATCAATTAGATAAACAAATTGATTCATTCAAAACCCTAAAGTATCCATTCATTACATAGTAACCCTAGAACTAGAATTTGGGGTTTAGAACCCCTAATACCTTGTAGGACTACTCCATATAGGAGGGAAGAAGATACATAGAAGAAATTGGGGAAGACTTGATGTTGAGGAAGATGGCTCCTCTCTTCTAGCTCCTCCTCCTCTTTTTCCTTCCTTCAGTTTCTCTCTCTTACCAGAAATTCTATCTCAAAATCAACTATCTTCTATGGGTAAAGGGGGTCTTCTATTTATAGCCTTCAAAGGATGGAGAATTTTTCGGCCGGATAGCATGAAGATCGCGATCGCAATCTCCCACCTTGAGGCCGTGATCTGCCGCCGACGTTTTGGCCTTCAGGCACGAGGAGTTGGCTGGCTGACTTCACGGTCGTGATCCATGAAGTGCGGCCGCAAACTTCCTCGCGGTCATTATGAACTGTGGTCAAGAACAAACTAGGGAAACTCTCTGTTTCTCTTTGCTGGCTTCTTCACGAAGTTCGCGCCCTTAACCACCAAGATTGCGGTCGCGATCTTAGGTCCTCAGGCCGCGATCTTTGCCTTGAGTTTATCGTCTTTGTTCTCGGTCGTGATATGCATCTCTAAGCCACGATCATCAATATTCTGCCCCTTTTTTATACCTGTGTCCATTTACGTACCTAATTCGCACGTATTGTTTAAAGCATCCTAAAATCACATCATAATCAAATAGGAACAAAATAGGGATGCAATCAACACTATTCAAACGATTATGCACATGATTGACAAAAAATAAACCTCATTATGAAGGATAAATAATACCGATTTAGGTGCTATCCAAATGTCACATTCTTCTGAATGATTTATGTCAATGGCGCAACAATGGTGCTGAAGTTAGGCACAAATCGTCGATAGAAGCCAGCCAACCATGGAAACTACTTACTTCACTCATGTTTGTAGGAGTATTCCATGCTTGAATAGCCTTCACCTTCTCTTCACCGACTTCAACTCCATTAGCACTAACAACAAAGCCCAAAAATACCACACTTGGTTTGCAAAACATGCACTTCTTGAGATTGGCATAGAGCTGCTCCTTTCTCTAAGTCTTCAACACATCCCGCAAGTGCTCGAGATGCTCCTCCATACTCTTCTACTAGATCAGAATGTCATTGAAGTAGACAACCACAAACTTCTCAATGAATGCTCTCAACACATGATTCATCAACCTCATGAACGTACTTGGAGCAATTGTCAAGCCGAAGGGCATCACCACCCACTCATAAATACCGTGCTACATTTTAAAAGCTTTTTCGCATTCATCCCCTTCCTTTATGCGGATTTGGTGATAAACTGACCTTAGATCAATCTTTGAAAATATACTAGAACCATGTAACTCGTCAAGCATATAATCTAGGCGAGGTATATGACGATGATACTTAAATTTGATTTGGTTGACTGCTCGACAATCAACATACATCCTCAACTTATGTTGGGACTCATGCTCTCTCGAGCATGTCCTTTCTCCATGAGCTCATCGATCTGCCTTCGAACTCCTTTGTCTCCCCTGGATTCGTCCAATAAGCCTCCTTATTTGGGATGTTGGCTCTAGGAATGAAGTAAAGTTGATGCTCTATCCCACAAATTCAAGGTAAGCCCTTTGGAGATTCCTCGGGAAAGACATCTTCGAACTCTTCTAATACCACTCGTGCCCTAGGTGATATTTCTTGAATTAACCCTTGGTTGAGTAGCACACCCTTGTATAAAATGACAATCATGGGTTCTTGATCATTTATAGCTTTCTTCATGTCTCCACTTCGTCCTAGCATCATTGTCTTGGGCTCCAAGTTACTCGAAACTTTCTTTCTGATCCTCGTGGCTTGAGCTTCCTCTCCTCCTCTAGGTTTTGTTGTATTTAAAGTTAGTATTGGTAAACTTCTCTAGGAAATAGGAGCTTTGACACGATCTTTCGACATTGATGCAACAATGTGTACTTGTTGGTGACGCCATCATGTTGTGCATTTCGATCGAATTGCGACGACCTAAGAAGTAGAACATGAGCCGCTTGCATAGGCACCACATCACACATTACCTCCTCCAAGTATTTCCGCAATTGAAAACTTAAGTAGAGCTTGCTTCTCCACCTTAATCAAGCCATTTTCATTGAGACATTGAAGAGTGTAGGGTTTTAAATGAATTTTGGTCATTAACCCCAACTTCTAGACACAACTCGCACTCACCACGTTTGCGCAGCTCCCTCTACTAATCGAAAGTAGCTTCCCATCCAATACACACCTCGTATGGAAGACGTTCTATCTTTGCTTAAGCTCTTCCTTAGGTTGAATGTTCAATAACCTTCAAGCCACACATAACTTGCCCAGAGGTGCTTCCATCTCTTTAGTCTCATCAATTTTAGAATCATAAGTGTCCTTCGCTTCATGTGTTTCTTCTTTAGATCCAGATACATGCTCACCATTCTCTAACAGAATCATTGCCCTCTTGTTGGGACATTGCAAAGCAATATGCCCACGCCAATGGCACTTAAAACATTGAATCCCACCAGATGATGCTCCTTGTTTGGCGCTAGGGTTTGGAGCTTCAACCTATGGCCCGAGTTTTCGTGCTTCTTTTGGAGGGATACTCGACCTAGGATTTGTTGTAGGATTTGGAGTAGGCCTAGTGGTGCTTGTGGAAGGTAAAACCTTCTACTCTTCTATTGCCTCTCCACTTTACCACACATAGCACCAAATCTTCAAGCTCGACAAAGGGCTGGGTCTCTACAATGTTTCCAATTACTTGATTAAGCCATTTAAAAATCGAGCTATGGTAGCCTCCCTATCTTCATGAACATCAACTAGAATCATCAGCATCTCCATCTCTCGATATTAGTCCTCAACTCTCTTGTTGCCTTGTCGGAAAAGTTGCAATATTTGGTGCATATAAAATTGATGATAACTTGGCACAAACTGATCTCTCATGATGCCCTTCATATAGGGATGGCAATTTGAAACCACCCCGTTGGGTATTATCCAACCTGACCAGCGATGGGGCGGGTATAACATGAATTGTACTAGCCTGGGATAGGCATGGGTATCTACTTCCACCTTGCCCCTTTCTTTACCCATTCTATCACAATTTCTCATAGTATCTATTCATATTTCTCCTATTTTGGCTTTTTTCAACTAGTTAGACTTGATCTTTCAATAAGTTAGACTCAATTACCCATTCTATAATCACTATTTTTCATTCATAGTGTTTTCTCCTTCAATTTATCGTAAAAGTTAAAATTTTGCGTGTATTATTTTCAAATGACATGTAAGAGTGGGTCGTCCTGTCCCACTCCGTACCCGTGCGGGTATTACCCGCCCCGACTGGTAGTAGTGTGGGACGGGGCACGGGTATTGAGATCCCCGTCCCCTGCCCCATTGCCATCACTACCTCTCATATCATCCAACGTCTCAATAGGCATGCGCCTATCTCTCCTTCTCTTTGTGCACAATTGATCCCTCCAAACTAATGCATAATCCATAAATTCGAGCAAAGCTAGAGTTAACTTCCTCTTATCCAGGTAATGATAGCTGTCAAATATTAGCTCCATCTTGCGCTCCCAATCTAGGTAAGTATCTGGGTCAATCTTTCCTTTAAATGATGCAATGGTAACCTTATTTCCTCGTCAATCATCATCTTCCTCTTGTTGATAGGCAACTCCATCATTTTCGTACTCCTCATAGCCTTTTTTGTCATAGAACGACTGTAAATTCTTTCTTTCAACTCGCAGTTCCCTCAAGGGTTGATGTCATCGTACATGCTCATACAAAGGTCTTTGTATAGCTAGACCTCCCCTTCTTTCTTGTCGTCGTTCCCTAGGGTTAGGGTTAACCTTATTCGCATATTGAGGTTTCTCTTGCTCTTGCTGTTGAGGCCGATCATGATCGTGCCTCTCCAACGTCTCGATCTTAGCTTTAGTTGCTGCTTGTTCTTGAAGTACGGTTGCTAGTTGTGCGGTGATTTATTGTAATGTGCCTGCCATATCATTGTTTTGATTTTCCTCCGTTGTTTGATTGATAAAGGAGGCTCCACGAACTCACTCCTCCAAGATAACCTTATTGCCGCACAAGAAACCTTCAAGAACATCCAAGATTCTCTTTCTTGACGTCCAAGACTCCCAAGAATGCTTCAAGAACCGCCAAGAACTTCAAGAATCTTCCTCTTCTCCACTTCATTTGAATTGGGCTCTTGATACCACTTGATATTACCTAATTCAAAGAGAACCTCGAATTCGGACTAGAACACTATAGTTGCACACATCGAATTATTTAGAGCTTTTCTCCTTTCTTGAGTAACACAAAAATAAAGACAGTTTGCAAATATCGATCAAACCATCCCAAACCTGTGGGAACGGCCAATCGATATTGTCGAACTTGCCATGAGTATGGTTGCTTTGATTTTGGTTTTCCTCTCTCTCTCTCTCTCTCTCTATGGAGTAAATCTCCTTCTTACTTGAGTGTGAAGAATCCTAGTTTCATGTATTAGGATCCTTCTTCTATGAACCTTTGGATGTTATACTGATTGTTTTATTCAATTAACTACCCACAAATAACAGTTAAGGACCTTTTAGTGAGAGTGGGTCCGTTGGCATATCTAGTAGATTTTGCGGTTTTGGATACACACAAGATGATGGGACTAATCCCATTATTTTGGGAAGATCTTAGAAACTTCGTGAATGGTAATCAAGGTGCTAGATTGATGAGTCACTCTTAAGTTTGGGTAAAACAACTTGTGATAAATCTCTCGGACGATCATCAAGGGGTTTCACCCTCATTTTTAGCTAACACAAGGTCAGAGCAAAGGCCCCTAGAAATTTCCAATGTATGTGAGGTAAATCATGATTTGTTCCCCACTCTGTCAATGTGGAACATCAAAGGTCATTTTGTTGAAGCATCACCGCAGTCTCAAAAGATGAAAAAATGAAGCTGAAGGAGCACGGGAAATGAAAGCTTTACTCGAGTAAAGAGTATGAATTTCACGGTCCTAACTGAAATTCACGTCTGTGATCTTTCAAGCTCATGACAGGAACTAAAAGATCACAGTCGCGATTTGTCGTTGCTCAATCAAGCTCTACCATTGCTCAGTCGTGATATGTCCTTGCTTCCACACTCAAATCCCATTTCTCTTGAGTGAAGTATTCATCTTCGAATCTCGTAAGACTATTCACTTCTTTCATCAATTCACTTTGTTAATGGTTGTGTTTTATTTATCTTTAGGTACTAGTGGCCTTTCAAGTTCATGAAAGTAAAGTGGGTTCAAAAATCATTTTAGTATTGGGTCGGTTATTGAATATAATTATAGAATAGAAAATCATGTCTCTTACTCTCTTCTTCTTTAACATTTCTACCTTTCTTGCATGGTGGATTGTCAAACAAAGAAATCAATCAATCATTTCATATTTTTAGCATGCACATAAAGTGTTCGACAAAATGACTAATGACTTTTTCTCATATGTAAATGTTTCTTTTCATATCTTATCAATTGATTTTTCTTGCAATCATTAATGTTTTTACTTATTTACCCTCCTAGTTGAATTCATATCCAATTCTTTTCAAGTTTGAAGAGGTAAACCCCATTTGAATGAGACGTTTTATGTATGGTTAACCTTACTCATGAAGCAAAATTAACTTACCATGCTATATTCCTGGTTTTCTTTCCAAGATGGGCAAGTCAAAGGAGGCTCTTGAATCATCAACTACTGTTCAAGGAGGGAGAAGAATACCTCACCCTTTCCTTCAACTACCTGGTCAAGATCTTGAGGAATACAAGTACTATTCAATCATACAATTCAGGGAGCATTGATGTGTTGATTGGTAGTTATTTAGGGACATCGAAGTGGTTGTACCTATGAGAGAACTCATTCAAGACCCAGCATGGGTTGCTCTACTTGCAGTAAATGAACCTATCTATGCTGAGCTGGTACTTGAATTCGTCTGCACCATTAATCTTCCCATTCTCACAGTTGGGCAAGTTCACACCTGTCTTTCCTTCTACCTAGGAGGAGTTGAATGGAGATATGATTATGAATCGATTCGCTGAAGCACTAGGTGTCTATACACCCGGTTTTCTCCACTCGCTAGATGGGAAAGTAGTAAAGGATGAGATAGTTGAACGATTTCATCGGTGAAATGATTCAGGCACCAGGCTTGTCTCCCTAATCATCCTACAAAGTACAACCTATGATGCAAAGAAGACAAAGAGTGCATCTCTCTGGCCCAAGTGGAGAATCATCCACAACACCATGTCACACATAGTCTCTCCCGATGAGAAAATATCTAGTAATCTAATCAAAAGAGAACTCAATATGATCTAATCCATGATTTCCGAGCATCGCCTACACCTGGGGTGGTAATTTTAAAAATTTCCAGAAGATTGTGCGCAACACAATTATCAAAACGATCCCTAGAGGAGCTTATTTGACTCGACTAGCTTAAAAGTTTGGCATTGACCCTGTTGCAAGTAGATGCACAATCATTAGAACAAGAAGTCCATTGACGGAAGACCATCTCCCAAACATGAAGTTAACAGAACGGATGGATGGTGACTCGCACGAAGGTACACCGCGAATTAATCTCGACTAGAGCCCAAGTTTTTAATATCTAGCCGGGTGCAGTATAGGGCAAGTATTTAAAATGTCGACTCGGGCCGGTCCATGTACCCCTACTTCAATTGTTTAGGTTGTTATCTAGCAAATGGTTTTTTGGGTTTAAATCTAAGAGCTAAGAAAACTAAAAACTAACCAAACAAACAAGGAAAGTATATGGAGGAGAATTCTACTCGAGAGGACATCACCCGGGTATTGCACCCCCTAGTCTCATGCTAAGAAGCGACAAACAAAACTCTAGTGTGAACGACGTGTTCATACACCACGAGGTGGGTGAAACTAGCTAGGGACAAACTCCCTTAGTCGATCAATGAAGGAAAATCAACAAATATAAGCTAGGAGAACTAGCTCTCTTAACCATTAGGTTAAGGATTATTATTCATAGGTAGGGAACCTGGCCCTCTTCACCGATCAACAAAGGAGATCCCTAACTCTCTTAGTTAGCTAATTGAGATTCGTTGCAACAAGTTAGAAAGCTAACTCACTTAACCTTTCGCCTAAGGGTGACAACGATAGGCTAGGAAAGCTAACTCTCTCGACTAGCCAACTAAGGATTGCAAACAAAACACTCGGAACTTAATCTGGTCGGCGGAGAGACCAATCCTGGGGGAATCACGGCCCTACTCCAATACTTGAGATTTTGGTCTTAAATCGACCTAAAGGAGGTTACCCAAGTGGCTAAGAAGTCTACCTTCCTATTGGATCAAAAGGGAATTTCCACCCTCTAGGTCAATTTTACCCAATATTAAGTTAAAGCTAGCACACTCAGTCATTCATGAATAATACCTCAAATATCATATAAATTATAAAACACTCAATCGACAAACTAGGTTCATGTTCTTACATCCTAAAACATAGAGAGACTAAGATTCACAATGCCCAAGTGAGTAGGTAGGCTATTCCATGGATAGACAAGAGAAAACAACAAAAGGGGAAGAAAGAACCATGAAGTGATGCCAATCTTTCCTCCTTGTTGCTTGAGACACCCTTGAGATGAAGAAATCTTCAATCCTCTAGCTAGGAGCAAGCCCAAACCTCCTTCTTCCTCCTTTGATTTGCACTTTCTCACTCTAGAAGAAACCCTAACCTCTCACTAGAATCCTCTTTATTCTGATAAATGAAAACCTAGAAAAAGCTCCCTTTTCTCTCTCCCGACAGCCTTCTATTTATAGAGCGCGACAGTCACTCCTCACGGTCAGATGTCAAGGCCGTGACATTGGGGCTCTGACCTCGACATTGGACAAAAACACATGTCAATGGTGTCATTTTGGTCCATCTTCACGGTCAATGACTGATTTTGACGGTAATCAGACCGTGAACCACTCGGGCATCAGCAACCTTAGTATAGGCTCTAGAAGCAGACAATGTCACTCCCAAAGGGAAATTGTCACGGTCATAAGACCATGACATTTGACCTTTGCCCTTGACAATTTATTCTCAAGCCCAATGATCAATTGTCAAGGTCTGTTGACCGTGACATTTGACCCTTGCCCTTGTCATTGGACTATTCTTCACTTTACTGCACTTTTTGGCACTTTATTGACTCCAATCGTCATGAAACTCGTTCTTGACCTTTCCACACGTACTAGGACCTAAAATATGACAAAACAAGCTCAACCTAGCGCGAAATATGTCGAGGGACGATGAAATGCAAAGTCAAACTATCAAGAAATGAGGGATAAAGTGTATACATTTCGGCCCGAATCACTCCCCCACACTTAGACGTTTGCTTGTCCCCAAGCAAACCATTTCATACAAGGTAAGCTCACAACTTTTTTGTCAACAGAAATTTTTTAGGGGATGTCATAGGGCATAAAACAAATGGATCACAATGGTTATTTTGGCACCGACTTATTTGGCACCAATCAAAGTTAATCATGCATTAAAATCACATCATAGGAATGAACGATCGAGCAATCTAGGTCCTCACCGGGGTATAAGAAATGAAAAAAAAACATGATGAATGAATCACTCACTCTCGACCAGTTGGGTCATGACCATTTGATACAAAAGATGTGCATATTCACGCTCAATCCTAACGTCCCTTTACCATGATGGTAGCCTCTAAATGCTAGATCTCACAAGATGGGTGTCGTTGCTAGCTTGTCCGAAGGTCTTAGACACGGGTTCAAATGGCTAGCTAGGGTCTAGGACATGGGGAAAAGGCTTTTTGGGTGGTGAAAAATATAGCATAAGGTTCCACATTTCCATCCTAAAACCACAAAAGTTCTAAGGATTCGATTAGGACTGTCTCCTACACTCAATGGCCACTAGCATCGGCCAAAAACCGCACTTCCCTCAATTCCAAACTACAACCAATCACCAAACCATGTCACACATACTTTCTTTTTACATTTGTTAGTCAATTTGAAGCACAAGAGTGTGGTAGGCAAACAACATGTAAGTGTTCCTAAAGCTTGCACGCTAAGCAACACTTTTAAGAGCATGTTCAACATTTATTATATTTTTTTTGGTCATTCTCTTTTCTTCTTTGCCCTATTATTGATCCTTTTTTTTTTCATTTCATTTTTCTTTTCTTTGGGGGCTATAGAGAGCTAAAAACATGCCACATTTTTTCTAACTTACGGAACAATGCTCACTTTTACGAACTACCTCCACACTCACTTCACCTCTTAGCAAAACCATACACAAATCACTCATGTGGAACCTCATTTAAGCTCAAATGGTATTAATGGAGCTCTATCTAAGGTGTTGACACGAAGAAAATAGGGTCGCTCTATCTAAATCAATTAAGCTCAAGTAGCGTGAGCTACCTAACACGAGAACGATCCTTAGACACACGACTCAAAGGGGTTGACTAAAGGATGATATGATCGGGTCGGTCAACATTTGGGTCGTGGACTAAACCTATGCCTCCATCTTCCTTGCTAGCAACAATGTGAATGCTACACATCATGTAAAGTGGGATCTATCACACAAGAACGAAACGAACAACACAAGTCTCACATGGCTACCTAGGTGCTCAATCATTCGTTCTAACTCCCTAAACTCTGTGCATAGGAAACTTTGAAAAACAAGTAATCGATTCAAAACATTTATCGGCTCACAAACATATGAGAAATGAACCTATGCACAAACCTAATACATTTCTCAATCATCATCATAGGTTGCACATAATAACAAGCAAATCATTCATAGACATTTCTAATAACCACGAGATTCATAACAAAACAACACAAGTGCCTCTATGATCATGCAAATGTAGAAGTTTCTAGGCTTGGAGCCCTCAAATTTTTCAAATTTGAGCATCCAACTAGGCTCCAAGCATTTAAAATCACACCAAACATTCACACACACATGCATACTGGACTACCCTACCCCCCCCCCCCCCCACACACACACACATAAGCTTGACATTGCCCTCAATGGCGTAAAAGAATGAGGTAGAACAATGTTAACAGATAATGGTGAATGTTGGTGTTCGGGAGCGGAGGGCGGTGAGATCTGGAAGAGCAAGGAGGCGGCAAAACAAAAGGTCGACTTATTGAAGCCAAAAGGAAACAAACTGATGGTGGTTGGGTTGCCTCCCACAAGCGTTTCTTTAACGCCGTTAGTTGGACGGTTTCTCTTCAAGTTTCAGTCCACCTAAGAACCTCCTTCAAGTCGAGGTTCTCGTTGGTGAGGTGGTGTGACTCGCTACGACACAACTCCTAACAAAGGCCAAGTGTAACCAATGAAAGGGACTGCAGTATAGTGGCTCAAGTAATAAATATCGAATCCACGGGTCTCTAGAGTTACTATTACTCAGCTTTAGTTTATTATTTAGCAAACCAGATTAAGATGAAAGAACTAAAACTACTCTAGCAAACTACAGTTAAAGTTAATCTAATTACAGGTTGGGAACTCACTTAGGTATGATTCCCCCTAGCCACTAGCCAGACTAACCATTGATGATTTCGAACTTGTTTCACTTTCATTCACAATGCAGAGAATCCTTGACTAGACCTTGAGTCTCGACTAAAGGAACAAGGCCCTCTTGAGTCAATTGCCTAGAGGGACGTATCCTTCTCTAGAACAACCGATCAAGGCGTTCTGAACTAGACTCCCTCTATCGAAAGAGGTTCTCAATCGATACAAAGCAGTGAATCAACCCTCGACTAAAGCAATCGATCCACTACTATCAATCTATGGTGCTCTATTGACCTAATCAGGTATTCCCTCTCATAGGATCAAAGCAGAATCAATAATCTCGACTAAAGCAGAAATGAATAATGAAAACATGCATAGATTGAATATGAACTCAAGATTATCAAGTTAGAGTACTCATACAATCATCAAATTAAACAAACATGGCTAGGGTTCCTCAAAACCTAAGTGAAGGGAAGTTACTCCATAGAGAAGAGAGAGACTGCAGTAAGAATCTTAAGATGATCAGTCTTCAAGTCCGGGCTTGTTCCTCGAGCTTCCAAGGCAAAGAAATCCTCCAATTCCACTCTTAGAATGCCCTCAAATCGCCCTCTCTCTTTTGGTTCGTCCCTTGGGTGTTTGGGATCCAAAAACCCAGCTCTCCCCGTCCTTTGGCTCGAATTTGGGTTAAAAAACCCGATTCTGGGCAAAACACGGTCGAGGACACGGCCGTGTTTTGATTTTGCCCGCCCGTGTTTTGCCCCGTGTTAAAAACAAGCCCGCGCGCGTCAGTCCAAACACGGTTGTGCCTAAATATGGGTACGGCCGTGTTTTAATTTAGGCTCGCCCGTGTTTTTACTGCCGAACCTGTTCCCCTATATTCAATGCTTCATTTCTCCCTCGTCCGGACTCCGAATCAGTCGGCGTTTGATCCCAGATGCTCGTAGTCTCGTCCTCTTTCTTTTCATGACAAGCTTGCATGATTATTTGTCCATAAAGTGAGGTAGAAATCCATTCTTCTTCAGGTCATGCCCGAGTTTCTTCTATCGATTCGCCAATTGATCTCTGATTGACTTGAAACTTGCGCCTATGCTTCACTTTATGTGCTAGGACCTGAAATGTGAAAAAGGAACACAACCTAGTGTAAAATAGGCCAAAGACGCGATAATTAAATCTCAAACGATCATGAAAAAAAGGGGAAAACATGTGCAAATATCGAGTCATCAAATCCCCCCACACTTAACTGTTTTCTTGTCCCCAAGCAAACTAACTCGAACCAATGTAGCACTCCAGACCTCTATAGCAACATACAACCCCGATCGTCGGTAGAGGATTTCCTAGATCATATAGCATCTTACGGGGTCAACTGGTCTTCTAAGACGTTCCCTATCTCTCTCAATGCGAGTACTAGACTCAAGCCAGGATCATGAGAAAAAATGGAAGTAAGACAGTCAGTTCATGGATAAAGGGACTAACACCATTCACAACTAAGGAATCGTTGTACTGGGGGTGCTCTTTCACTTCATTTCACCGTTGGAACCCCTTTTTCACTTTCCTTTTACTTCTTTTTTTTTTTTCTTTCTCATTCACTTAGCGGGGGTTCCAACTGCAGTCTTTTGCACGGTCGACCCTTATTAGTCGAGCAAGAGCAATTTCTGTACATCTGGCGCTCGCCAGAGTACTTCTTTTAACTCCTTTTCCTCAACTCGTGTGGAGGGTCAATGAAATTAAGGGGGGTCGGAAGCTCTATCCGTGCCCTTAAAAATACATCCTCAAGTAGGCAAACCGTTTAACGGGTGGAAGTTTTACTTGTACTAGAGACAACTTAGCTTCACCCTGTAGGAGTACCCCACTAAGGATCACTAAAATCTCTTCCAAAACCCGATTTTTGTGCAATGAACGGTGCCGCACACGTTGGGCTTACCCCATGTTTATGATTTTGATGATTTTGACATGGAGGACCAACTGCATTTTTCATTTTCCACATGAGCACCCTGTTCGATACACGAGTCCATAACACAATCCACATAGAGTCACCATTATCACATGAATTCAACGGTCCTAGCTCCACTAATTCACAAAATCAACTGGCACAGCAGAGAGCTAGATAGGAAAAATCTTATACTTCAACATCCTCCATAGTGCTACACTACCTCCCTAGGTTGCACATTACTATAGAGACTGTCAATTCAAAGCATACTGAGCAAGCAATTTGCAAGGAAACACGTACTTGGAGCCCTCAAATTTAAAAATTTGGACAGTGGACTAGGCTCCAAGCACACAAATAGCCAAACATTCACCCGCATACATAATCGAACACCCCCCCACACTTAAGCACGACATTGTCCTCAATGGAGGAAAGATAAGGAGGGTAGAACGAAGTTACCAGATCAAGGGTGAATGATGGTGGACGAGGCAGGCAGTGCATTCAAGGAGGAGAGAGTAGTCGAAACACAAACACCACACAAAATCTCACAAAGGTTGAGTTATTGACTCTAAAATCAAATAACAAAACTGACTCAACCAAGGTGAAATAGAGAAAGAAATGCAAACCGACTGGTTGGGTTGCCTCCCAACAAGCGCTTCTTTCACGTCGTGAGCCGGACGATGGCTCCTAAGTTTCGGTCCACCCCAAAACTTCCTTGAAGTTGAGATTCTCGTCAATGAGGTGGAGTCTCAAGTCACGAGCATGTGGTATGACAAGTGATGGAAGCTCCTGCACTTGATGCGGATGAAGTCTCCACCCTCGAGACCTCTTCTTCTCTTCTCTCGTCTCATTTCCCCAAACCAGATATGACAGCATCGATTGACCACCATCGTGTCCACCAAGAGGGACCGATGTTGACGTGACCTTGGTATGGCAAAGAGACACTGCAAATGGATCCTTGCTAAGCAGTTCCTCGAAGTTTGGTGGAGATATCAAATGTAACTCATGGCCGGTGCAAGCCTCTTCCACCTCAACCTCGTCCTCAGCCTGGATGTCAATTGCTTCTTCATCCTCCCTTCGTTGTTCATGTAGTATCACCCCTGGGGAATTATCAAGAACTCCTTCTGCTTCACTTTCGTCATCCTCCACAACTTCTTTCTGCACCCTTTCTCGCTCTTCTTCTTCTAGCACGGATTGGAGAGCAAGTTGCCAAGCAATTTCTTTCATGAGATCTTCTTGCATCTCCTCACTCATGCCCGCCTCTTCAAAGCTTAGTTTGGGATGTGGAAAGGTGTGGTCGGCTACGATAGGATATTCCTGATCATGATCATCATGGGAGCTCTCCGTGACAACTTCTGTGTGTTCCATAATGTCCTTGTATCCTTCTTCTTCCTCCTCCTCTTCTAGTATGGTAGCAGAAGGGTGATCTGGAGCAGGTTGTGCCCAAGATCGCTCAAGATCATCGGCGCTCTTCTTAAGGCTCAGGAGGATCTCCTCTGTTTCACGATAGGCCTGGACACAATGATCCATCCTGGAGCATGATCTCTCACAATCTCGAGCAAACTGCTCCATGAGAAGCCTCCATTCATAGTTTGGATCTAGCTGTGGAGTGTAGCATGGCTCTGCAGAATGGCACGTGAAGGCGCGTCGATGGCCCTTCTGGTTGTGGGAGAAATTCTTCTTGATAATGAGGTTGTTCTTGATCTGCCCAGGGGTCCGGTTGTTCTCCATAGTAAGGGGGTTGGTACTGGAACCTGAATCCATAGTCTTCTCCTCCTTGATTGCTCCAGGGAGTCTCGGGGTAATACCACTCGTATGGTGGTGGATACCCCAATTGTTGGAGAAGCCATGAGGATCCATGATTCAGATCTGCACCAACAAAAACAAGAACTCCAGTGCCGATGGCCCTTCTGGTTGTGAGAGAAATTCTTCTTGATAATGAGGCTGTTCTTGATATGCCCAGGGGTCCGGTTGCTCTCCATAGTAAGGGGGTTGGTTCTGGAACCCGAATCCATAGTCTTCTCCTCCTTGATTGCTCCAGGGAGTCTCGGGGTAATACCACTCAGGTGGTGGTGGATACCCCCAATTGTTGGAGAAGCCATGAGAGGATCCATGATTCAGATCTGCACCAACAAAAACAAAAACAAAAACACCCAAGTGAAAAGCAAGGGTGGAAAAGAAAAGAAAAGAAAAATGCTAAAGTAACAGACTTCTGCCTTTCCTAATACTCTAGAAAGTCCCCAACAACGGCGCCAAAAACTTGACTCGCTACGACACAACTCCTAACAAAGGCCAAGTGTAACCAATGATAGGGACTGCAGTATAGTGGCTCAAGTAATAAATATCGAATCCACAGGTCTCTAGAGTTACTATTACGCAGCTTCAGTTTATTATTTAGCAAACCAGATTAAGATGAAAGAACTGAAACTACTCTAGCAAACTACAGTTAAAGTTAATCTAATTACAGGTTGGGAACTCACTTAGCTATGATTCCCCCTAGCCACTATCCAGACTAACGATTGATGATTTCGAACTTGTTTCACTTTCATTCACAATGCAGAGAATCCTTGACTAGACCTTGAGTCTCGACTAAAGGAACAAGGCCCTCTTGAGTCAATTGCCTAGAAGGACGTATCCTTCTCTAGAACAACTGATCAAGGCGTTCTGAACTAGACTCCCTCTATCGAAAGAGGTTCTCAATCGATACAAAGCAGTGAATCAACCCTCGACTAAAGCAATCGATCCACTACTATCAATCTATGGTGCTCTATTGACCTAATAAGGTATTCCCTCTCATAGGATCAAAGCAGAATCAATAATCTTGACTAAAGGAGAATTGAATCATGAAAACATGCATAGATTGAATATGAACTCAAAATTATCAAGTCAGAGTACTCATACAATCATCCAATCAAACAAACATGGCTAGGGTTCCTCAAAACCTAAGTGAAGGGAAGTTACTCCATAGAGAAGAGAGAGACTGCAGTAAAAATCTTCAGATGATCAGTCTTCAAGTCCAGGCTTGTTCCTCAAGCTTCCAAGGCGAAGAAATCCTCCAATTCCACTCTTAGAATGCCCTCAAATCGCCCTCTCTCTCTTTGGTTCGTCCCTTGGGTGTTTGGGATCCAAAAACCCAGCTCTCCCCCTCCTTTGGCTCGAATTTGGGTTAAAACCCCGATTCTAGGCAAAACACGGTCGAGGACACGGCCGTGTTTTGATTTTGCCCACACGTGTTTTTCCCCGTGTTAAAAACACCCCCGCGCGCGTCAGCCAACACAGTCATGCCTGAATATGGGCACGACCGTGTTTTGATTTAGGCGCGCCCGTGTTTTTACTGCCGAACCTGTTCCCCTATATTCAATGCTTCGTTTCTCCCTCGTCCGGACTCCGAATCAGTCGCCGTTTGATCCCAGACGCTCGTAGTCTCGTCCTCTTTCTTTTCATTACAAGCTTGCATGATTCTTTGTCCATAAAGTGAGGTAAAAATCCATTCTTATTCAGGTCATGCCCGAGTTTCTTCTCCCGAATTGCCAATTGATCTCTGTTTGACTTGAAACTTGCGCCTATGCTTCACTTTATGTGTTAGGACCTGAAATGTGACAAAGGAACACAACCTAGCGTAAAATAGGCCAAAGACGATAATTAAATCTCAAACGATCAAGAAATAAAGGGGAAAACATGTGCAAATATCGAGTCATCATGGTGTCTAAAGTCACGAGCTTTGGACGAATCCGTGATTGAGGGCTGGTGAACTTGAGTGTCATGAGGTTCCACCCACGAGACCTCTCCTTTTTTCTTTCTTCTTCATTCTCTTTGCCCCATACCATATAGTGCAAACTATATTGGCTTCCATCACATCTACCAAGAGGGATAGTCGATGGTTTGGCCTTGGATTGGCAAAGAGCCGCAAATGGGTCCTTCTCCAAAAGTGCATCGATGTCGGGTGGAAAGCATTGGTAGCACTTGTAACTTGTAGATGCTTCATCCACCTCGATCTCATCCTCATCTTGGACACCACTTGCTCCTTATCCTTCTTTCTCAACCTCCCTTCCTTCTTCTTCAATTTCCTCCCATTGGGAAGAATCAAGGTATTCCCCTTCTTCGATGCTCACTTCCTCCTCTTCAACCTCTTCTTTCTCCTTTCCATTCATGTCTCCAAGCACGAATTTGATGGCAAGATGCCATGCAAGATCTTAGAAGGGATTCTCTTACTCCTCCACACTCGTGTCTTGGTCTTCAAAATTGCTTTCGGGAAGGGGGAGATGATGGGAGTCGTCAATGCAACCTTCTTGTTCATCCTCACCATGAGAGTTCTTCGGGGTGAGTTCCTCTAACTCCACATGGTTGTCATTGAGCGCCCCTTCAACTTCCTCTTTCTCCTCCAATAATGAGAGGTGATAGCTTTCACAAGCTCGTGCCACTTTCTCTTCTTGTGTCAAACCGGGAGGAGGGAGGGGTTGGAAATCCATGTTGGAGCTCATTCTTACAAGGATCTCATGGCTTGCCTCTTCCACCTCCTCTTTCTCTTCTTCAAATGGCAGGAGGCGATTGCGAGCAAGTTGTGCACATGCTTGCACAAAAAGCTCTCCTTGCCCCTTCGTGCGTCGATGGAGCTCTTCCACCTCCCGAAGAAAGGTTGAGTCGATAGGGCCAGCGATGGGAAGGTCCAAATTGGAGCATCCCTCTTCGTTACCCCGGGAAAATTTCTCCACCATGAGCTCCCAATTTCTCTTTGGCTCCGGTTGTGGAGTGGCACATGGTCTTGATGATTGTCCCATGAAGGCTTCCATGGACAACTCCAACTTGGATTTCTTCTCAAGTTGTGGAGGGAAATCTTCTTGATATGGGGAAGCCTCTTCATATCACCAATGGTATGGTTGTTCTTCTTGGAAGGGGGGTTGGTAATAGAACCCAGATCCTTGGCTTCCCCCTTCTTGTTCGCTCCATGAAGCTCCAGGGTACCACCATTCGGGTGGTTGTGGATACCCCCACATATTGTAGAAGCCATTGGGATCCATAATTCATAACCTACACAAACAAAAACGCAAAAACGAAATCACACAAACACAAACCACCCTTCTAAGAGAAGATTGGGTAACGAAAACACAACATGAAACACAAACACACAAAGAAAAAGGCAATATAGAAAATGCTATAGTAACACTAAGCGACCTTTTCAAAATAATGGACCGCGGTTCCCTGGCAACGGTGCCAAAAACTTGACTCGCTCAAAACTACCTCGTGAATTATATCTCGACTAGAGCCCAAGTTTTTAAACTCTAGCCGGGTGCAGTATAGGGGAAGAATTTAATTGTCAAACCCGGGCCGGTCCATGTACCCCTACTTCAATCGCTTAAGTTGTTATCTAGCAAAACAGCTTTGGGTTTAAAACTAAGAGCTAGGAAAACTACAAACTAAACAAACAAGCAAGGAAAGTAAATGGAGGAGAATTCTACTCGAGAGGACTTCACCGGGGTATTGCTCCTCCTAGTCTCATGCTAAGAAGCGACAAACAAAGCTCTAGTGTGAAGGACATGTTCATACACCACGAGGTGGGTGCAACTAGCTAGGGACAAACTCCCTTAGTCGATAAATGAAGGAAAATCAACAAATATAAGCTAGGAGAACTATCTCTCTTAACCATTAGGTTAAGGATTATGATTCATAGCTAGGGAACCTGGCCCTCTTCACCGATCCACCAAGGAGATCCCTAACTCTCTTAGTTAGCTAATTGAGATTCATTGCAACAACTTAGAAAGATAACTCACTTAACCTCTCGGCTAAGGGTGACAACGATAGGCTAGGTAACCTAACTCTCTTGACTAGCCAACTAAGGATTGCAAACCAAACCCTCGGAACTTAATCTGGTCGGCGGAGAGACCAATCCTGGTTGAATCACGACCCTACTCCGATACTTGAGATTTTGGTCTTAAATCAACCTATAGGTGTTTACCCAAGTGGCTAAGAAGTCTACCTTCCTATTGGACCAAATGGGAATTTCCACCCTCTATGTCAATTTTACCCAATATTAAGTTAAAGCTAGCACACTCAATCATTCATGAATAATACCTCAAATGTCATATAAAACACTCAATCGACACAATAGGTTCATGTTCTTACATCCTAAAACATAGAGAGACTAAGATTCACAATACACAAGTGAGTAGGTAGGCTATTCCATAGATAGACAAGAGAAAACAACAAAAGGGGAAGAAAGAATCCTCCTTGTTGCTTGAGACACCCTTGAGATGAAGAAATCTTCAATCCTCTAGCTAGGAACAAGCCCAAGCTCCTTCTTCTTCCTTTGATTTGCACTTTCTCACTCTAGAAGAAACCCCAACCTCCCACTAGAATCCTCTTTTTCTGAAAAATGAAAACCTAGAAAAAGCTCCCTTTTCTCTCTCCCAACAGCCTTCTATTTATAGAACCCGACAGTCACTCCTCACGGTCAGATGTCAAGGCCGTGACATTGGGGCTCTGACCTAGACATTGGACCAAAACACATGTCAATGGTGTCATTTTGGTCCATCTTCATAGTCAATGGCTGATTTTCACGATCAACAGACCGTGAACCACTCGGGCGTCAGTAACCTTAGAACAGGCTCTGGAAGCAGACAATATCATTCCCAAAGGGAAATTGTCACGGTTATATGACCGTGATATTGGACCTTTTCCCTTGACAATTGATTCTCAAGCCCAGTGATCAATTCTCAAGTTCTGTTGACCGTGACATTTGACCCTTGCCCTTGACATTGTAGTGTTCTTCACTTTACTGCCCTTTTTGGCGCTTTATCGACTCCAATCTTCCAAAAACTCGTCCTCGACCTTCCCACACGTACTAGGACCTTAAATATGACAAAACAAGCACAACCTAGCGTGAAATATGTTGAGGGACGACGAATGGCAAAGTCAAACTATCAAGAAATGAGGGATAAAATGTATACATTTAGGCCTGAATCAGATGGAATGATGTGCATTAAAGGGATCATACCCAAAACACTTCATCCTCAACTTCAATTGCTTCATCCTGGATTTGCAGGCAATGACACTAGATCTTCCTCCATCCCACCTCAAGAAACTTTGCCTATGTTTGGCCCGGCTTTTAGAAGTTCTTTTCGGCTTCTAAAGCTGAAGCAGGGCCAAACACCTCTAAAAGCTCGGCTTTTGAAAAGCCGAAAAGCGCTTTTGTATAATGCGAAAAGCTATTTTGAAAATACAAGATTATCCTTACCATATTTTAATTTTTTCAGAAAATATAATTTTCCTTCATTTATATCATTTTAAAAATAAAATAAATTATAAAATCATATTATTTAATATAAAATAAATCTAAAAAATACATTTTGACTATTTTTTATTGTTTAGAATTTTTATTTACATTTTATAATATAAGTCCTTTATAGTCATTTTACACAACCGCTCATATTAAAAAGCACTTCTAATAGTTTTACAGCCAAACACTAAACTGCTTTTTTTGAAAAGTACTTATCTAAAAGCTTCAGCCAGAAGCTGCTTCTGCAAAAGCTACAGTAGGGCCAAACTAAGCTTTTAATGAATCAAAATGCAAGACTCATTGCCCAAAATAGTGAGCTGCTTTCTAATCAAAGGAACACTGAATCCGCCTCAAGCGAGAGAGGGGCGCCCGAAGAGATCTAGTTGCCAACCACCTTTTACTCTTGCAAATGAGCATTGCTCATACCACCATACACCCACCTTTCACCTTATCCCAGCAATGTGATGGGGATAACATTGACTCGGATGATATGGAGGTTAGTGCATAAGAGGACTTCGATGTCAATGATGATGATGACGAGTGATACTACTTTCATTCCATCAGAAAAACTTATTATTTCTATTTAGAATCTTATGCTTGTCCTTTAATTATGTTCTATGTGTAATAACCCCCTTTCCTATTGTTTGCATGTGTGCGCTTTAATACTTCCTATCTTTTAGATCTCCAAAGAAGACGTCACTTGTGCACCATTCAACCATTGAAGACAACCCCTATGGTAATGATCTGAGACCTCATCTTTGAACTCCCACATTGCAGAAAATGTGTATCTTAAGTGTGTGCTTGTGGGGTAGGGGGTTAAACATATGTTTAGAGTTCCGGATGTTTAGAATGAATGTCATAGTCGTTTGATCACTGCTCTTGAATGATGATGAATGTTTGATATAATTTAGTGTGAGATTTTGAACAAATGGAATGGATTTTAATGGTTGAATGGCGTGATAGGAATTTACTTGGAACCTAGAATTTGCTCAAATTTCAAGTTTTGAGGATTCCAATTAAACCTCATAGCATACAACGTGACTACTTGCTTTAAATCCTTGAAGTTAGCTTCTCCTACTCTATCAATGTCGAGGAACGTAGTGTGTGTAATGTCATAGGATGAAGTGCCAAGTTTGACTCTTTGATGTGTCATGTTTGTGTGTTTGAAGAGTGAATGGATGGATAGGTTGCTTATTTGGAATGCGTGAATCCAAGGTGTGGTTTTAATGATTGTAGCTTGGTTATGTGCTTTCTCCCAACCTTGAGTTTTCATTTAAACAAAGAGGGTTGTAGCTCATTATTTAATTGTCTACGTGTGATGCAATTATTGGATGATTTGACTCGTTCATAGTAGTACTAACGCCAATTGTTTACCTGATCGAGTGCGAATTAGAGGGTGATGCGAATGGGGACCACCGTTAGTTTTGGCTAGCTACCATACGAAGGTCAGTCATCTTTAGGTTGTGACCCTTCCACACGAGGCCGAGTTATAGGTAGGTGGAAAGAGCGCTAAAAGCGACCTCTTACTTGCCTGATCCAAGACAAAGCAAATTTTAAAAGTTGCTACAACCCCGATAAGTAAATTTAAAAAAGGAGGATAACGATTGTGGAGAAAGTTGAGAATAGAACCGTGAAAAGCATTCGGTCATTTTACCTACAACTATGGGTCAAAATAGTACATCTTGAACCGTTATTCAATCACCCAAGAACACTCAAGTCATGACTTTTAGACAATTCAAATGTTGGCATGTACACCATGGATTTCTAGTCTCTAGTAAACCATATCCTAAGAAAATATTGAGGAGAGAGGCTAAGGACTTTGGGTTGCATGTTTTGGTGTCACGTGGTTGCTTTGGGACAAGCAAATGTCTAAGTGTAGGGAGTTTCATAACACCTAAAATGGTGTTGTCTAGCCCTCTTTTCTTGGATTTTTTTTATTATGGATTGGAGCGTTCATGGAGAGTTTAACTCTTGATTTGGCCTAGAAATGCTTCCTCTTGTGTCTTGGTCGTGTTTCAAGTTTTAAGCATTTTTGGAAAAGAATCTGAGCTCAAGTGTAGGGAAAACATGTTAAAATGGTGAAGATAGAGGATCACGGCCAGAGGGCACAATTCATGGTTGAGATGTCAAAGGTTGAGAAGAGCTCACGGTCGTGATTTCATATCGCCTAAGCCGCGAACTTGGAGAAGCTGCTGACAAGAGCACAGAAGGTCTCACAATCCATTTTGTGGGCCCTCATGATCGAGAACAAGAAGATCACAATTGTGACTTCCAATTCATGACCATGAAGTCAAGGCTATGATCTCTCATTCCGAGCAGCTGACCACGCTGTCATTTCAACTTTGCAGCCTGATGGTGAACCTTGTAACAACGATCTCTTGAATTCCAACCACAAATTTGATTGTCCCTCGGAATCTCTATAAATAGACTTTGAAAGCTGCAAAACCCTGGAGAGGGGAACTAGAGAAAGAATTTTCCGCCTTAGTGAGGAAGAGGAGAAGAAGGGAAGAAGGATGAGTTTCATTGCACAAAAAGAAGCCATTATTCATGTTTTCTTCCTTCCTTTTCATAGCTCTTCTCTCCCCTTTCATGGGGTAATAGCCTAAAGTACTTGGGGCTTTGTCCCCCAAACCCTAACTAGGGTATGATGTGTAATTGAATGTATGTAGTTAATTTAATGTTAATTTGAGATTATCTAGAGTTTCTAATGCTTCTTTCTAAGCTTGGGAGGAATCAATGTTTGTGTGTCATGTTTAGCCTAGGTCACTTATGGATGAATGCATGGATGCCATTTTTTTAGCCTGGGTCATTTTAGGTTATAAATTTATTGTATGTGAATGACTTACTTTAGCTTAGTCAGTTGATCTTAACTCCTAGTTGGTGGACGAGGTGACCATCACTTGCCAACTAGAAGCTCGCCTAGGTAATACTTGGTACTCACCGCGTTACCATCGACTAATTAAGGACCTTATGTGCGAAAGGCTGTAAGTCGTTTAGAGGAGATAGAGCGCTATCCCTAGTCACTAAACCTGATTGTGGTGATATTGGTTCGACAGATGTGGCTAGGATGGGAATAAGTGGTGTGACCATTGCATCGACTCCCGTATTAGTGATCTTCGCTCCACAATTACCTTGAGTTGTTATACCTGTTGATTTCATGTCTACTCGATGTTAGGGAGAGGGCGGTTAGCCCCGGGTATTGTTCTTTTCATTCTTGTTCCTTTCATTAAGAAATTCCTAGTATCAAAAGCGATCAACTATTGATTAGATAACAGTAGAATTTAAGAGGAGTAGGCTAGGGTGTCAGCAATCTCTAGGTAATATGATCAATGTCGCTATACTCGAAGCCTGGCAGTGGTATACTTTGTCATTGTCAGGTTCAATAGTTAGCGAGTATCGTTAATTAAAGCTCGATCTCGCGAGGAATCACTATTTTTTCAGCTAACATGTTAATAATTACACATAAATTGACATTACATAAATAAAAAATTACTAGAACGAATAAAATTGGATAAAAAATAATTTCATGACAATATTATATGTACGATAAATATTATATATGCTGAAAAAATATCAATTTGAAAAAAATACATATGCATGCATATAGCTAGACGAGTTCGGGTTTGGGTAGGATATTGAGAAAGTCATGCCCACTCATTACCCTCAATATTGGGGTTTGTGTTTTACCCATACCCATTAAAAATTCTTCAGTTAGGATTTTATTTTACCTAATATATCAAAGTCAGACAGATATCCATGAGTATGATTATTCTTGCTATCCCAAAATTTTTTATGTTATTTATGGTATACATTCCTATTTATTTATATGGATTGTTAAATTATAATTGATATGCATTCCCAAAATTGATAATATGGATCGAACAAATACATACTAGTATTGCTTGAATGCGTACCAGTATCAAATGACCTTATTTTTTAAAAAATGTATATCAAAGTGGATCTCATAGGTCATAATTAATCTAATTTTTCTATAGAAAATATTTAAAAATTTAAAATTCAAATGAAAGAGATATCATCCACTATAAATAATGAGAGGATTAAATACCTAGAAAGGAGGAGATACTTAAGGTATTATCATCTCCCTTAGTTTGCATGTTATTTTTAGGTGTTTTAACCAAGTATTGTAAGGACTTACTGCATATTATACCTTAAAAGTTAGTAATATGGTATTTTGTGCTAAAATCATGATTCAATTATAGTGTAATCGTTTAATAGTGCTAAAGAGGGTTATCCAACCAATCCGATCCGCAACCCGCCTGCAATCCGAATGGACTAAAAGTCAAAGACCCGCAACCGATTGACCCGTAACCTGGTTAACCCGCAACCCGATTGACCCGCAACCCACTTGACCCGAACCCGATTGACCCGCAACCCACTTTACCCACAACCCTTAACCCGCAACCCGACTAACCCGAACCCGATTAACCCAACCCGAAGCTGCCTGATTGGAAAGAATAATACTACATAATATATTTTAGTGCATAAATATTATATGTAGATAATATATATATGGTGGTGTCTTCAGTGCACTCACTTTTTTTGGTGCATTTAGTGCACTCTCTTCATAACCGTCATTTTAAACATGAGATTAATGTCAAAATGATGTCAATCATCACTTATGATGTGATGAACAATAACGCACATGAATTTGCACAAAAACCATTAAAGATTTACTTTAATTTGAAGGATTTGGAGTTTAGAGATTTAGGGTTAGGGTCAGGGTTTACAATTTGGGGTTTAGGAATAGAACTCAAAATTGGAGGTCTAGGGCTTAGGGTAATTTGCTATTGTTCACGTGACTTGCCCTCATAGGATGCTTTGTGTTGACAATTCCCATTAAATTGAACCACATAATACTATTATAGTCTCATTGTCTGTCTTAGTAGATAAATAAAAATCCTAGAAGGGTATAAACATTTCACTACAAGAAAAATAATGTTTTGCACCGGATGCTTTGTGTTGGTTAACTTAAACTACACAAATTTTAGAATTTTTGTCGGTTATTTGAGTCGATTAAGTGCCCGATGCCATTCTTTTGCTATTTATGTCGGTTAAATCTGCAACTGACACAATTCTCTAATATTTGTGTCGGTTAACATTTGAGTCTCCCAAAACCAACACAATTATTCGAATTGAGTCGTTTAGTGTTTGGTTGGTGTGTATAAATAATATATATAGATAACACACATACATATGAAAAACATGATTGACTAATTAAACCAACCATATACTAGTACCTAATAATTACATCATTTTTCTTCCACACATAATATAACTATTCACATAACATTATTAAAATATTAACCTAACATAAGAAGATTCGTAATAGTACATAAGTCATAACTCATAACCTAACTCCAATCATAAGAAGACACATAACAATTTACTTACTAAGTTCTACCATATCGAAAATAGTAGGATTAGGATGTATGTTCTTCTCAATAATCGAATATAAAATTGACTTAACTTACATTCTTCACATAACATAGGCTATAGTTTATACCAACAATTTCATAACATATAACTATAGTTGATGGTTTAAGGTTAGTGCATAGGGTATACGGTTGTGGACTCGTGATTTAGAGTTAGGAGGATTAGGATGTATGTTCTTCTCAATAACCGAATCTAAAATTGACTTATCTCACATTCTTCACATAACATACGTTATAGTTTATACGACTAATTTCATAACATATAACTATAGTTCATCGTTTATGGTTAGTGTATAGGGTATAAGGTCATGGTTTAGAGTTTAGTGTTTGGGTTATGGTTAAGGGTTGAGGTTAGTTTTAGAGTAAATGACTTAATCTAGTAGTTATGCTTTATGATAGATATTTTGATTTTTATATTTTATTATTCAATTTGTTTTTAACAATTAATTTAGCTATTTAGTAAAAAACGCATTTAAAATATTTTGAAAACTTGTGAATTTACATCGTAAATATATCATATTAAAATGACATCCCGACCAACGGATCGAACAACAAACTTAAAAATCGGTATACAATTTATCATTTATAATAATAAATATCTTAGAAAGAACAAAATGTTCACCAAAAAATTAAGGGAAAATTTTTGAATAAAAATTCAACAATTCAATCCCCAAATATCTGTCCCAAAATTCCCTCCCCAAACCCACAAAAGAACTTTTAAAACCCCACCCAAAATTTGGTCCAAAATTCCCTCACCAAACCCGCAAAACTTTTTTAAATCACCCCACACTATATTTTGTCCAAAGACCAAAATTCCCTCCCAGACTCCTTTTTGTAACAAAAAAAAAATATAATATTAACAATATATTTTTTTAATTCGTTAATGAATTGACATTAGTTAAGAAGGGAAAATACAAAATGGTTGCCCAGGCCCAGCCTCATTGCAAAATGGTAACTGAGTTTGTTTTAAATTAGTGTAATAACTGATTAAAGAAAAACTTGATGGTTTGGACCGAACAACCCGCAACCCGATTAAGCCATGACCCGACTGAACCCGAACCGAACCCACCCGACTGACACCTATAACCACTAGTACAATATGATTTTACAACATTGACTTTAACTATACCCTAGCTCATTGCCCGACCCTTGGCCGGACGTAGTCTCGGAAATTGACTCTTTGATTGTAACTGATGTTACTCGTTAACATGTATGCGGCAATGGGCGGAGGTAGGTCAAAAATACCACAATAATATGATGGAAAGTCATTATCCCATTGCATTATAAAAGAAACAGTAAAACATAAACACTATAATGGACAATCCAAACAAAGCCATTAGCCTTAAATATAGCCAGTATTGCCATGCACCATGATGCCCCTAGAGTAAACATGAAAAAACCAAAGTAATAATACCGGTATACCGAATACCAGTTAATGCATTTGAGGTATTTTAAAACAACATATAAGATTTAAAATTTCTTACCAGACAAATTGATCCCTAAAAATGGAAAAAAAAAAGCACCCGAGACACTAGTCAATCCATCAACGTGTGCTTCCTTCCTGTAAATGGCTTGCAGGGTTCCTTCTTCGCACCAAAGCTTTCTGCTTTCCCATCTTTCTTCTCCATCTTACCTCCATCGGTTACCTTGACAGCCGAATCTTCTTTCTGATGAACACCTCTTCCTCCACCACTCAGCCGCCTCGCAGACCCACTAAACGCAACAAACTTCTCCTGTTCCACCCCTGCCTTCTTGTCCTCTGCCGCAGCAAGCTTCTTTAGCTTCTTGGCCTCCGACTCAACCGCCTCGTCCATCGAAGCTTCCCCTGTTTGACCCGACAGCCGCCTCGAATTCCCAGTAAAAGCAACAAACTTGGTCTCCTTCGATTCATCCAACAACACTTCCTTCACCTCGCCGGCAGCATCTCGCTTCTTCTTCTTCTTCTTCTTGGGATCGGGCTGGGGCTCCTTGTAATCCAGCGGGGTGTCGGTATTGGGTATACCGATTTACCGTCGGTATATGACTGATCGGTATTCGGTATACCGTTTGGCCAAGAAGTGCAGCCGAATACCGATACCGACGGTATTCGGTATACCGAATACCGTTTATAACCGGTTCGATACCCGGTATACCGAATATCGGTTTACCGAATACCAGCCCTACTTACCGGACTCCAATTGTGGATGGTAAAAATGGAAGTCATCAAGAGATTTCATAAGAAAAATCCAATATAGATTGCCCTTAGACCAAAAAGCACAGTGATACAAAAGGCGATGAATCTCTGGCTGAGAAAACAAAAACCAGCAATGTCCAAATCAACTCGATGGAATGCGTCGGTCAGTTTTTTCTGATAAATAGTTTTGTTAATTAAAATGACAAAAAAAAAAGAAATACAAAGCATGCAATCTGCTTTAGAAACCTCATATACAAACAAAAGAAACAGGCAAGCAATATATGCCTGGAAGCACCAACAGATAATAACTTCTATTAATATACATACCACTGTGAAATCCTACCAAATTACAGCTCTATACTTTCTTTCTCTTCAATCTGTATAAGCCAATCGTCATGAACTCTCCCCATTATTATGATTCTTATCCTCCTTGACAGCAAACACACTGATTGGTCCACTCTTACTCCTTTTTCGTGGAAGCTACATGACATTTTGCATCATTGCACATTAATTCAAACAACAATTCCTTGCTGCAATTTATGGCTTGGGGTAATATCACTTCAGTCATAATACAGATTTACATGAAATGAAAGAAATGACCATTATAATAGCCTTGTAAAATTTAGAGTACCAATGCTATTCCTCTCTTTTCCTCGGTGGCTTCGGCAATAAAATGAGATTGATGACTATCTCTACCAACATATTTAATATGATCATTGTATGAACTTTGTATAAACCATTTCTGTCTTACCCATTTTCGCATCACAACTCCAAGAGCTAACTTGTTGAGGTTCTCTTCTAGGTAAACAACTTGTATCAACATCATGCATGAAAACAAAAATTGATTTGGTTGAGATACTATCAGGATCTTGTGATGTACTGAAGAAGGCTAAACAGTTTCCCAGGCATTGTCAACCCTCAATCAATTTGATGTGGGTCATTGCTCTCTTACCATCTAAATTAAATAGAAAGCTCAGGTTGGCCTCTTTTATAGCCTCACTTGACAATTTTTTAGAGGAGATAAAATCACGATTCACAATTCTAGAGCAACCACCTGATATAATACAATCTTATGGAAACAACACTAATGAAGTACCCAATTTACAATTCCGTACATGTTTCCTATGAGGGCGTGCATGTGCAAATTAAGAAAAATATAATGATTAAGGAGAGAGCTTACTTGGCATCCAACTTTGATGAGCAAAAATCCTATTGATAAATTCCAGGTGGAGATGTCCAATCGATCGGGTCTAGACATGCGTATATATCAACATGCTATACTAAAAACACAAAGAGTTCGGTTTGTCCTTCCCATGACAACATATTTTCACCATGTATTTATTCCTTGCAGAGAGAAGGATATCAAACCATCTTGTATCTTCTCCAATTATGGCTATCACTAGTATTTTTTATATTGTAGTAATTAGAAGCCCAGTTTTAAATCTGGAAGCAAGTGACACTATCACAAAACATCATACTGTAAAAACTTATTTGCAATCATGAGGTTATTTCACTCAAAAGAAACCATTTTTATATGTTGAAGATCAGCATTATAGCTTGAATAGTTTAATTCGAAAATGATCTCAACTCTTACATATAAATTTTGTGTAAAAGTGGTATGATTGAAGCTATTCCCTATGTTAACACTAATTAGAATAGTCTTTGTGTACTGAAAACTAACCACAAAAACATTTCAAATCGGAAAAATGATGATACTGAATAGGAGTATCATAACAAAAGCAACAAAAAGTATAGCTATTTATCTGTAATCATCTTAAAAGTCAACCTAGAAGATCAACCAAATGAACTGATGTTAAGAGATTACACATTACTCTCAAAGAAACTAAATAACCCATCAGTTAGCTCTCCAAGCAAAGAACACTCAACCTTTCGATATTTACCCCTCCGAAAATTGCTTTGCGTAACAGTATAGGTGAAGGAGGTTAGACAGTTGTCGAGTCCAATGGGAAGGTTTGGAGAGACGACAATGGTTGAGCGTTTAGTAGGTCGGGAGCCCGGAACACTGTTTATCTTTAATCAACTCAAAAGTCAACCTAGAAGATCAACCAAATGAACTGATGTTAAGAGATCACACTTTACTATTAAAGAAGCTAAACAATCCAGCAGTCAGCTCTCCAAGAACACTCAAACGTTCCATATTTACCCCTCTGAAAATTGCTTTGCGTAACAATATAGGTTGAGGAGGTCTGGCGGTTGTCGAGTCTGGTGGGAAGGTTTGGAGAGACGGCGATGGTTGAGCGTTTAGTATGTCGGGACACCATTTAGACCCATTTACATTAGTTGCGCATTTTCAATCCGCATTCGACAAACCAACATCACTCAACCTTTTCATATTTACCCCTCTTTTAAAGATACATGTGCCTCATATTCAATCAAAACTTTTATGTTCAAAAATATTGTTGCTTTATGATAATTATATTATTTAGGGTAAATACAATATATTATCTATAACTATTAAAAAGCAGCGAATTATAGCCATACCTATCGAAATACCAATTATTATCCAAACGTTAAGTCTCTGTTAGAAATTCTGTTAGTCATGCTGATTTAAGTCTATGTCAAGATTTCTGCATCGCTTCTACACATCCAATACTGCAATATGATGTGCAATATTTGCACCAATGACATTAGGCTTGCGATTTTAAAATTATTCTCCTTTTATAAGATAAATAGAAATAGAATTAATTAATAATTTCGAATTAAAATAATCAAAGTATGAAAATAGAAGTATCAAATACCAAAAATATATTTAGAGGAGAGTTAGTGGCTTAGCTAACTATGATGAAAAATTCTATGATTTTTAAGATTTCTACTTCCTGTATGTTTTTAATTTAAAAAGTTTAAACAAATTTGTTTAGTGTAACTGATTATGTTTCTTGTCTTTTCTCCAAGAGATCACGATTCAAATCCCATCACCAATGTATTTTTCCTGTAAATAAGAAAATAATAAATGACTGTGAAAACGAATCTACCCTTCCTAATTTTGCTATGGATGCAAGGATTTTCTAAGGGGGAAACACCTTTCCCATTTCACTATTATATTAGGTTTAGCGAAAGTAACCTGGGTGGTTGAGTTTTTAGTGGGTCGGATACTATTTGGGCCCGTTTACATTAGTAGTGCCTTTTCCATCCGCGTTGGGCAAACCAACAACACTCAATCTTTCCATATTCACCCATCTAAATTGCTCTAGCGTGACAATAGAGGCAGAGGAGGTTAGCCGGATGTTGAGTATGATGGGAAGTTTGGAGAGACGACGATGGTTGAACGTTTAGTGGATCGAGCATTATTTGGGCTCGCTTACGTTAGTAGTGTCTTTTCCACCTGTGTTCGGCAAACCAACATCACTTAATCTTTCCATATTAACCCCTCTCTTAAAGACACGTGTGCCCCATATTCACTCAAAAGTTCTGTGTTTAAAAATATTGTTACGTTATGGTAGTTATAACAATTAAGTTTATGTTAAGAATTCTACATGGCTTCTACACATTCAAGAGTGCAATTCGGTATGCAATATTTGAATCAATTACATTTCAGTTGCTAACCATGGTGGAAAAGTCCTATGATTTTTTAGATTTAAGCTTCCTGTATGTTTTTCATTGAAAAAGTCACACAAATGTGTTTATTGTAACTGGTTATGTTTCTTATCTTTGTTCGAAGAGACCACGGTTCAAATCTCATTACTGATGTATTTTTTCTGTAAATAAGAAGTTAATAAATAACTGTGAAGACGAATCTACCCTTCCGACTTTCACTTTGGATGTAGGAAATTTGAAATGGGGCTTCGAGTTTTCTCATTTGGCTTTTATTTATTGTGTAGATAAAACAACTAAACTAGATTGCAAGGACTTAAAATTTCAGATATTAAATTGTATATAAAAAATATATACACTAAAATTTTAGATTCCTCGAATTAAATTATAAAATTGTATAGTTTTAGATACCAAATTATAATTTTGAGTGTATGGGTAAAGTACTAAAATCCATGAGCCAAAACTAAACCTAACCTATGCATCATTCATTTGTCATTTCATTTCCTGTTTTTCAATTTCGCAACAAAAAATTGAGAACACAAAGTAAAAAACTTGTTATTTTATCTTCTTCTTCTCGCCCCTTCCCACAAACTCCCTTCTGTCTTGTAATTTCTATTTCTAATTAATAAAGGAATGTCACCCTTAAAAGGATGAACACGAATTATGTTTGTTTTCTTGTGTTTGATTAGAGGATGAATAAGAATGATGTTTGTTGAGTGTATGTAGAGAGAAATACATAAGATATTACTAAATTATGAGAATTGAGAAAATAACACCACTAAAATAAAAATAGGCACCATTATCATAAAAATTATTGAATCGTTTATTTGTCCAAAATTTCATCTATCTTCCGTTTGTTAAAAATACAAAATTATTTTATACTAAAAATAAATCATTATAAAAAATAAAATAAAAAAGAAATAATAATTATTCCCTTAATACTTATGTCGAGAAGGCTACCCAACTCTCATATCAGTTGTAGCTATCGACATGCGCCATCGATCCTCCCAATATCTATCCATGAATATTATTAAACCTATAAGGTGGGTACGGTTCCATAAGGGTTCTTCTACCCTGCGGCTACTATGA